CTGGGTGTGATGGCATAGGCCTTTAGTCCCAGCACTCAGGAGGCAGAGGCAGGTGGATCACTGTGAGTTCAAGGCCAGCCTGGTCTACATAGTGAGTTCCAGGCCAGCTGGAGCTACAGGGAGACCCTGTCTCAAAATACACATACACACACACACAAAAGACCACTGGCTGCTCTTGCAGAGAACTTGGGTTCAATCTCAGCACCCACGTGGCAGCTAACAACCATCTGTAACTCCAGTTCTAGGAAATCCAGTGCCCTCTTCTGACCTCCACAGACATTGCACGACACGAGTGCACTTATACACATGCAGGCAATACATTTTAAAAATATTTTATTTAATGTATATGAGTGTATTGCCTGCATGTGTATAAGTACACTCATGTCGTGCAATGTCAGCTTCCCTCTATCCCACTCCAGCAGCTTAGGACTCCTTCCAGTTCCCCCAAGAAACACAGCTGTCTCCAGGTCTCTGCACATGCCTTTCCATTTAACCTACTTTTGTCTTCTTCAAGTCTTGGCTTAGCTGCTGCTTCCTTATAGCACTTGCCATTCTAGGCTGTAATGAACTTGCCATTCTAGGCTTCCTCTACCAGGCTTTAATTCCCTTCTACTAGAGACTGTGTTTGGTTCACTTATGTATATTGCCAGCACCCACCACATTTTCTGGGACACAGTAGGTACTCAGTTATTGTTTGACAAGCAATGCAAAGGAGTGGAATTTTCACCTTCCACCACCATTTTAAAAGGAAGCAATTTACTTGGCAGCAATGTCTCCAAAATTGCATATTTTTTAGAAATATTGGTCACCATTGTTTTAAAAGCTCACTGAAATTCTTTGCCCAGACAATTTGCCATTGCTAAGTTTTCATGTGCACTACTGTAGCTCTACCAAGGGAGAGAAGATTGTCAGTTCTTTCCAGAAAGACTTTGCAGCAGAAAAGATAATTAAACTAAGTTCTAAAATGTTAATGCAGAATTCACTGAGAAGAAAGATGGGAAAGGACGTGTTCAGTGTGCTAATGCATGCCTTAATCCCAGCACCCAGGAGGCAGAAGCAGGTAGATCTTTGTGAGATCAAGACCAGCCTAGTCTACATAGCAAGTCCCAGGCCAGTCAGGGCTACAGAGAGATCCTGGGGGGGGGGGGGGGGGCAGAGACAGAGACAGAAAGCATGCTGGACAGATGGCTCAGCAGTTAAGAGCACTGGCTGCTCCTGCAGAGGACCCAGGTTCAAATCCCACCACCCATATGACTGCTACCAATCATCTTTAACTCCAGTTCCAGGGGATCCAATGCTCTCTTCTGTCATCTGCGGGCACTGCATGACACCAGCGCATTTACATGCATACAGACATAATACACACATAAAATAAAAGTTTTTTCAAAAGGAAGGAAGGGGAGGAGAGGAGAAGAGAGGAAAAGGCATGTCAAAGGCCTGGGGATAGGAAGAAATATGGCAGGCTTAGGAAGAATAATTGTCTAGAAACAGCTGAGTGACAGAACATAGATATAAATGGCCCCAGGATGCCTGTCATCAAACATGCTTTAGCCAAAGACAAATCCAGGAGTTTCTGGCTCAAAAGAAAGGAGCAAGCCATACAAACCTGCTTTCAAGATTCCAAGTCCTGAGAAGTCCCTAAAGCATTCCATCTCAGCGAGATCTAAGTCCTTATCTGTTGAGTAATGTTGGGAAACCCTGCTGTTAGGGTTGTAGTTCTCCATGTCATTCCCAGAACTAACCATTGAAGGCAACGTTACTTCTTTCTCCAGGTGTTCTTTGGTCTTGGCAAACTGTTTTCAGGTCCCCTCTGCTCATATGCAATGCTGATAAAGACTGAAGCGGGGCTGGAGAGATGGCTCAGAAGTTAAGAGGACCCCAGTTTGATTCCCAGCACCCACATGACAGCTAACAACTATGTGTAACTCCAATTCCAGGGGATCCAATGTCCTCTTCTGACATCTGTGGGCATTGCATGCATGAGGTGCACTTACATACATGCAGGCAAAACACTCATACACATAATATAAAAATAAATAAAACTAATAAAATTATTTTTAAAAAAGAATGAGGGGGTATACCCCTAGTCTGGCTCTCCTGAGTGTCTTCCTGTCACTGTCCCTCTGTCGTCTCCTGCAGGTTGCCTTGCTGTTCCCCACATCCTCACAATCAGAGCTGAGTCCCAGTGCTGAGAATCAGCATCTACCTACGAATGATGATGCAGAAAAGCAATGCTCAGACCTTGGTCTTAGGGTCAGTTTGTACTATTAAAATTATTGTGGAACCCAAAGAGCTTTTACTTACATACAACTGTCTACATTTCACATATTAGAAATCTAAATTAAGAAAAATATTTTAATTGTAATTCTTACCAATCAACAATAAAAATATCCTGTAGGGTTAGAGGAGATGTCTCAGTGTGTAAAGCACTTGCCATGCAAGCATTAGGACCTGAGTTCATATCCCCAGAACCCATGTAGAGCTAGACACAGTAGCATACATCTGTAATCCTAGCACTTCTACAGAGAGATAGGAAGTGGGAAAGAAGGGAATCCCAGAAGGTAGCCTGGCATATTCAGTGGTAAATGAGACCCTGTCTCAATCAAGGTGGACAGTAAAGACTGATCCCTGAGGTTATCTTCTGACCTCCACACAGCATGCTGTAGCACATACACACACACAATCACATACACGTCAGCACGTGCACACACACATTTTTTAAATTGTACTAACATAATTTAATTGTGCTAACATAAGCCAATTTTAACATAAAGATAATTGTGCAAATAGCTGTTTTCCAAAATAATTAATGAGAAAGGTGATTATTACTTTAACTCGTTAAAATCCTGGCTGTCTGGCCTAGCAGAGGATAGTTGAAGTCTCACATCTGTTTCTGAAGTCAGCCTGTGGTGATAGCATACTTCACACAGCCCTGAAAAACCCCATGTGGGAGGATAAGAGTGAAAAGGCAAATGATGTTCTCATATTCTTATGAAAATCGTTCAGCCTTGTCAATCATCTGAGGTGTCGGGGATCCCTGGCAGTCCCCAAACCACACCTTATATCCTCTGGCTTACATACCTAAAAATAGTAGACTGGGAAGTCTAAAATAACCATTTTGAAGGGCAAGAATATATCACAGTTCACAAGAGATTAACAAAAGCAGAGAGAATGTTACAGCAGAAGCCAGTGTGTGGCTCCCCAGAATGGGGCGTGGAGAAAAATGTAACTTGGTCCATTTAGTTCTCATTAAAATGAAATGTGAGCAGCCACCAGGAATGGCAAGATTGGTTTCTTAGGCATTCAACATCTCTCAAAGAAAAACAGAAAAACAAACTCTAGGTACATACACACACCACCACCACCACCACACCACCACCACCTCTTAACCAGAAGATTAAACTGCTAGAAACACTAAACAGCTAGAAAACGAACCATCAATTAAACAAGTGAAGAAAACAAGACTGACCCCTCGAGTTCACACTGTCTCACTCTGTGAGCTGGAGCAAGTCAATCTTTCCGCCCTATTTCTAGGCCTGTGAAAAGACCAGTCTCCCACAGACATTTACAAAATTTGAAATATGCCATGTGACTGTTGACTCCCAAACTAAAGCCCTAATTAATGTAATATTAATGTAATAATGTAATATTAATGTAATAATGATAATATTAATGTAAGACTGCTCACAGGAGAACTAAACCTTCCCTATAAGCAGAGAGACTGCCCTCTGTTTTTCCCTCATTTATGTATCCCAAAATCCTTTTCCAATTAAGCTGTTCCAAACTGCCTTTGAGGAGGTCTGATGAGCCGTGTAATCTAAGCTCAAGAGATTCCCAAAGCGAAGTATAGTGACTAATCCATTTGCTGTGGACTCACCCCTCAATTCAAACCTCCGAAGGAGGAGATTCAGAGACACTGCTGAAAACAAGTTTGGGGAAGCATAAATGGGTTTCACTTCCCTCTCCTGCTCCAACTTCCTCCAAGGAAATTCTCTAACAATATTCCCCCAAGAAGAGTTATTGTGAGAAAACATGACAGTAAGTGACTTTGACCGGCCTGCAGCTTCAGCAGCGCCCACCAGCCAGTCCTCTGTGAAGCCACAAGCTTCAGCTAGCACAGTGGCTGGGGAAGCACATTTTCACTGGCCTGGATTCCCAGCATGCTTCTGAGGTTAGAGAATGCCATTTGGGCAGAGATGGGGAGTGAATTATACATCTGACAAGTCCAAAGAGTAGGAAATTTCAGTGGAAAGTCACAGGAAGAAAAAAAAGCAACTAGAAGTAGCCTGGCTAAATTGGGCAACATGAGTATAAGATTAAACATTGACCCATTTAGAAAGTCCCAGTTCCCAGTTAATAAAGTTGGGGTCATGAGAACTCCCATACTTCACCATCTGCATTCACCGCCTCACCCAGCCTCCTCCCAGCACAAGGAAAACATTGCAGGAGGAATGATTCTTTAGCAAGAAAATGTTTGATGTTCCCCTCAAGTAAGACTACTTCAAATCCAGAGAAATTCCAACTCAAATATATTTTAGAATACTTTTATTTAAATCAAGCCATTTTGAACAAATAAGGTAGCTAAAACAGTTCTTTCTCCCGTGTGTGTGTGTGTGTGTGTGTGTGTGTGTGTGTGTGTGTGAAATAAGTCCTTGACCTTCTGCTCAAATTATGTCTAAAATATTAAATAATAAAATATTAAATTTGAAATTGTGAATCCGGGGCTAGGTATGGTAGCACACACTTTTAATCCCAGCATTCAGGAGGCCAAGGCAGGTGGATCTTTATGAGATCGAGGCCAACCTGATCTACATAGCAAGCTCCAGGCTACCTGGGATCACAGGGAGACCCTATCTGTGATTATTTTAAAACAGGATCTCACTGTATAGCCCAGGCTAGCCTGCCTCGGCTCTCTTGGTGCTGGGATTCCAGGCAGGAGCCACCATGCCTGGCTCTTATAAGTATTTTTATTTATCTCTCCTTTTTTACTTGCTGTCTAGCTTTGAAGACCTCACCTTCTAAGAAACGGTGCAATTCCATTGCTGCATTAAAAGCGACCTCACAGGAGATTGTGTCTTCAATCAGCCAGGAATGGAAGGATGAGAAGAGAGATTTGTTAACAGAAGGACAAAGTTTCAGCAGCCTTGATGAAGAAGGTAAGGACTTGCAACTTTCTAAAAAACAGAAAAATTCCAGTGAATTACATAAATGGTGTAAAGTCACAATACAAAAATTAGAAAATACATGCTCCAAGAGATAGCCTATTAATTAAATTTTATAGACTACAGAGTATAATGCAGTTTATGTAAATTTTAAATGCCATGTAAACAATATATGATTTATCATAAAAGTTGGCAAATTCTAAAATATTTAAAGAAAATATCTATAATCCCCCTATTTAATGTAACAAATACTAGCATTTTGTTATTTGTATTTCTAAACTTTATTCATGCATGCACATACAAATATATGTACATGCACATACATATATACCTATATGCACACATATGTAAATGATATGATAAGTTGCCTTTCTGATTTAGAGTTTCTTTCATAAATTTAGATAAAATGTGATATTTTCTTTAGTATGAATTTAAATTGATTCCTTGGATAAACATAGAAATATTGATATGGACTTTTTTTCATTTGAAATACTGCCTTTTTTAAGAACTGGGCGTTCCAGCTGCTTTTCCTACTCTGTAGACCTCGTGTCTTGTCTTTTCTCTCCTACTTGCTGGCTAGGACTCAGGCACAGAGATGATTAGAAGTGGTGTCAGTGGATATATCCTTGCCCTGGTTTTAGAGACAATGCTTCTGATGGTTCACTGCTTAAAACGAAATTTGCCATTCTTAGTACCAAAACCCAAACCAAGGACATTCCTTTCCTTATTTCTAATTTGCTAAAAGATTTTTAACCAAACAAGAACACCAAGTTTTATTACTTTTCTCTATCTGTTGAGTTAATAAATTGAGTTTTCTAATTTAATCAAGTATGGGGAAATAATTTTTTAGATATTTCCATCAATTACTTCTTGACCTTTTGTTCACAAGTATAGACTTTTTTCATCATCGTGTTCTTTTGAAAATCTCCAAAGTACCTTCTGCTTCCTATAGAAGATTCAGGGCTTCCTGTAGACATGTTCTTTCCCTCAGAGTCTTCAGAATCCCTTCTGTTGAAACTCTTATCATCTCATGCATCCAGAGCTAATGATTTCAGCAAGAGTTAGTGAATGGCCTGTGATGATTAATACTGATTGTCAACTTGGCAGAATCTAGAATCACTTGGGAAGCAAGTTTTAGGTACACCTGTAAAGAAGTATCTGGATTAGGTCAGCCTCTGGACATGCCCATGAGGGATTATCTTGATTAGGTTGATTGTGGCAGGAATGACTCACCCTAAAAGTCAGTGGCACTATTCCCTGACCTTGGGGAATAACTAACTGAATAAATAACTTGGGGAATAACTAACTGAACATAAGCATTCATCGCTGTCTGCTTCTTGACTACAGATGCAATGTGACCAGCAGCCTTAAGCCCCTGCTGCCATGACTTCCCCACCATGATGGGCTATACCCTGGGACTGTGAACCAAAATATAAATGCTTCCTTTTTTTAGTTAGTTTTGTCACAGTTATTTTATCACGGCAATAGGAAAAGTAATAAAACATTGCCCTGTTCCTTTCAGAATTGATGACCAGAGTTTCTGGTAGACATCCACCCCCTTGCCCCACTCCTACCTCCCCCCCCATCTACTCCTTGTTAGTCTGTCTGTCCACCAGCATACTACCTGATTTCTAAGAACACTCAGAAAATTACAAGTGGCCACAGTTTGAGAAACAGGACAAACTTTTTTTTTTCTTCGAGAAATCTTATTTTATCAGACATTCTATTTTTTGGCATTGTTTTGTGTTTTGAAATTAAACCTTGTTAAGTTTCAGGCTGGCCTTGAGCTCGAAATCCTCCTACCTTGGGCTCCTGAGTAGCTACAATACCAATAAACATATTGCATCATACCCAGAATGCTGGCAATGTGGAAAGTAATGCACCTGTGATTTTTTTTTAATGTGAATTACTGGCTCCATTGCTTGGAGATTTGAGATAATATACCAAGAAGGTCTCTGAAGGTCTAAGAGAACCGTAATGAGTCTATCCTTTGAAGATGTAACTGTATGCAGATGGCGTTTGCTTTCACAGTCTTCATGGGCAAAGCCTGGTCGCTTGATAATGCGTTATACTTGGAGCTGTCCCCCTTCAGAGTCGACCAAGTCATTACCAAATTTCCCTCTAGTTTTTAGCCATTTGTTTTACAACATTCTTAATTTGTCCTAATTGTGTTCCTTTTATATTTGTTTACCACAAAGTTAGCAGCTTAAATTTTGTCTATTCATTAGCTGATGGTTCTGTTAAGACTGGCTGATTGACCTGGATTCTCTACCCAGGGACTCAAAAGCAAAAAATCAAAGCCAGCTAGACTGAGGGCTGGGGTAGAGTACTTGCCAAAGTCAGCTGGACTGGTTTCTTATCCGGAGGCACCAGGGAAGAATCCTCTTCTAGGCTCGTTTATGTTGTTAGTGGAATTCAGCTCCTTGCAGTTGCTGGGCTGGGATCCCCTCTCTTTGCTGACAGTAGAGGCCGATGATCAGCTCCTGGGAACCATGTGTTTCCCTTGCCATGCAGCTTCCTCCATCTGCAGAAGAGAAAAGGTTGCAAACCAACCCTCTCAACATTTGGACTCTGATTTCCCATTTCTGAACTCTAGAACCTGATTTTAAAGGTTCATGTAAGCCAGGAGTGGTGACTCACACCTTTAATGCAAGTGCTCAGGATATGGAGGCAGGTAGATCTCTGTGAGGTCAAGACCAACTTGGACTACCTAGAAACTTCCAGGCCAGCTGGAACTACAGGGAGACCCTGTCTTAAAAAAAAAAAAAAACAAAAAGGGGTGAAGCACTCATGTAACTAACTCAGGCCCCCTGGATTGTGACCCATTTGACCAGCTCAAAATTAACTCAGTCAAAATAGCCTGAATAACAACCTACAAAGTCCTTTTTGCAGGGCACAGAATGGTTATATTTGCAAGTCCCACTCATACTTAAGGAGAGCAAACAAGGGTGTAGGATCATTAAAGGTCTTAGAATTCCACCTACCATGTTAGGTTTTAGAAAAGACTGGAGAATATAGGAGGATGAGGAAATCATTCCTTACTACAGACAGCGTCTCCTCATGGATGAGGGATAATCTAATGTTTGGGTAAGATGTGACCTTGGACTTGGGCCCTGGACAGAGTGCTTTCCATGTATGACTCTGAGATTGCATCTGTCCTATGAAGAAATGCTGTCCATGCCCAAGAACTAAATCCATACTAATTTTTTTTAAACCAGCTCCATTTACTTTCTAATGTGCCAATTCAATGCAACCTAATGGCGGGGGGTGGGGAGAGCGGTGATTTTTTTTTTTTTTTCAGATCTGGATTTCAGTGTTATTGAGAGTTTTCAGACTTTTCTGAGTATTTAATAAGTTTGATCAAGTATATGGACAGTGTCTAGCCAGATGTGTGAAATTGAAGCCTCTCTCGTGTTTGACATTGATTATTGAGCATGCTTCAGTTTTGTATGATTATCAGGCTCTTCACCCTGGTTCTTCACTTTGATTGAATCAGAGGCGGAGCCCTGCTTTCCCCCCCACCCCCATGCACTGATGGGGATCTATCCCACAGCCTTGTGCAGGCTAGGCAGGTGCTATGCTGAGCTACATCTCCACCCCTGCCCATACCTTGCAATGTGTTGTCTGGACTTCAGAACCAGAGCCCAGCCCTTCCTGTCCTTGTTCTGTTTGCTCTCAGGTCTCTCTCTCTCTCTCTCTCTCTCTCTCTCTCTCTCTCTCTCTCACACACACACACACACAACTTTAAATCCAAATCCAGGAGTAGGAGTTGCATCTCCTTGAAGTAGCCCTTGGCTACTATTTCTTGGGCCCTGGTTTCCGTCTGAAACACTAGCAAAAAAAAAAAAAAAAAATAAAAAGACCAAACCTCAAACTCACATGACACTGCCTGCTCAAGTCATTTTCCATTTTCCCAATGAGAATGCATCATTTTGGATCTTCTGTGTGTATCCAGCAATGCCAGAGACACCCTAAAGCTATGCTGTATGCATCACTGCAGTTTAGTCACCGCAGTTTCAGCTGAGTTTGGGGAAACAAAGAATCCGTGAGGACTGAAGAGGACAGGCACAGGTGGACCAGTTAGCTTTCTATTGCTTCAATAAAACACTGACCAAAATCAACTGGGGAGGAAAGGGTTTATTGCATCTTACTCTTCCAAGTGACAGCCCATCACTGAGGAAAGCCAAGGCAGGAACTTAAGCAGGACAGGGACCTGGAGGCAGGAACTAAAGCAGAGACCATAGAGGATGCTGCTGACCGGCTTGCTCTCCTGGCCAGGGCACAGCCTGCTTTTGTATATATCACAGGACCATCTGTCCAGGGATATTACCACACATGCCCATTAGTGGGCTAGGCCCTCTTATATCACTCAAAAATCAAAAAGATGCCTCACAGACATAAGCCAGTCGAAGAGAGGAAATTCCCCAATTGAGAAGGCGTGCCACTTTGCAGGTGTGCCACGTTGACAACTAAAGCCATCCAGCACCCCAGGTCATGGCTGAGCCTGGACTGCCCCTCCTCCTCACAGTGGAGAGCTCTTACATGAGTACTTTCTTGGGCTCCTAAAATTTTTTAAATATTTTATTTATTATTTTTATTTCATGTGTCTGTGTGTATTGCCTGTGTGTAGGTAAGTGCACCCATGTTGTGCAATGCCCGCAGAGGACAGAGGAGGCTGTCAGATCCCCTGGAACTGGAGTTACAGACAGTTGTTAGCTGCCATGTGGGTACTGAGATTCGAACCTGGGTCTTCTGCAGGAACATCTAATGTTCTTAACCGCTGAGCCATCTCTCCAGCCCCAGCCTCCTAAAATTGAAAAAGGAAATGAGAGCCTTCTCACTTTTATAAAGACAGCCTTGCTATTAAAACAAAAGCTCAAGCAGGGGTGGTGGTGCATGCCTTTAATCACAGCACCAGGGAGGCAGAGGCAGGTGGATCTCTGTAAAATCGAGGCCAGCCTGGTCTACATAGTGAGTTCCAGGCCAGCTGAGGCTACAGGGAGACCCTGTCTCAAAAGAACAGCAGAAATTAAAAAAAAAAAAAAGAACATAATGTCAAGGAGAACCCTGGTTCACGTTCAGAGGTCTGTTGGGGCTCAAAAGATCAAGGTATGGTAGACTGTGGTTCTGTTAAAAGATTTGCTTGCTTTCCTTGAAGTCTGCTTCTCACATGAAGGGGCAAAGCAGGCTGACTGGATTCATACATCTGCCAGTCATCCTTTTAATCTCTGTCAAATTATCTCCTTAAGCTCCCAAGAGTTTTTATGCCATCTTTTTGAAATAGTAAATCACTTTATTAGGTTTTAAAAAAGAGCATTCCTAATGTCATTTCCATAAGCCATTTTATAAATTAATATAATTTCCTCCGTTTAACCTGTTTCCAAGCAGCTATTTTACATTCCATTGTAGTTCAGAAGAGCACAATTAATTCATAATTTCATTTGCAGCCTGATATGTAAAATGAATGCTTTTGACTCATTTCAGTTATTACAAATACTAAAGCAGTATGGATTACTGAGATTCGTATGTATGTTTGCTCTCCCTCCCTTAGCACTGGGATCGCGACACAGGCCTGACCTGGTGCCCAGCACCCCATCGCTGTTCGAAGCTGCCTCTTTAGCAACCACAATCTCATCTTCTTCCTTATATGGCAGTGAACAGTGTCCACATGACAGGACCACACTTTACTCAAACAGGTAACATTCCATGTGATCAGATTACCAATCGGGCTGTTACTGCTTCATCCTCAGGCTTTGAGTACCAGTGGCTTTGAGTACCTGTCTCTGTCTCCTATGTAGGAGAGAGGGAATACTTTATATTTGCTGTTTCAAAGATAACATTTAAGGGAAAACCATCCTGTTTCCCTCTACAGTTAATCATTATGTTGTGTAGAAATTAGTTATATATAGTTACACACTTGGCTTTATGCAAGAAGACAAAGTTTTCTTTTTTATTTTAGTGATGTTGTTTGTGCATGTGCATGATTTACACATTTATATGTGTGTGTGCGTGATGTATGTGTGTATTGTGTACATGCGCAGATTCATGTGTGTGAACGTGCACATTCTGTGAGTGAGCATGTGGAGATCAAAGGACTGACTCTGTGTCAGTCCTCTCCTTGCATCTCTTTTTTTGAGACAGGGTCTCTTTGCTTTTCTGCTACATAAGAAGCCTATCTGCCACCCAGCTCCCTGGTGGAGTTCTGAGATTACAGAAGCTCCTGATACATGTTGGGCTTTTACATGGGTTCTGGGGTTTGAACTCAGATCCTTATGTTTGTGCAGCAAGTGCTTTTTACCTGCCCAGCCATCTCCCTGCCCCTCCCCTTTTTGAGATAGGAGTTCATGTAGCACAAGCTAGCTTTAACTCAAATTCTAAGATTACAGGTTTGTGCCATCATGTCCAGAGTGAATTCTTATAAGCTTATAAGTAGATTTCTTTTCTTTGGTGCTAGAGTTTGAATCCAGGACTTCAGGAATGCTTGGCAAGCACTGTACCACTGTGCTACTTCCTAGGTCGTCAATAGATCCAATAGATCTCTCTCTCTCTCTCTCTTTCTCTCTCTCTCTCTCTCTCTCTCTCTCACACATATACAAGTCTAACATCTGCATCTGAAGGAGAACATGGAATTGGTCTTTCTTGACTTCCAGAGTCTGGCCTATTAAACTTAAAAGTCTGTGTGCCGAGGATGCAGCTCAGCAGCAGAGCCTTGCCTAGCGTACATGAGATAAAGACTTAAATTCAATCTGCAGCACCAAAAATAAACCAACCTACGAACCAACCAAGCAAACACACACCCAAACAAAAACGAAAGATTTGGTCAACAAACACAAAAAGCTTCCTATGAAATGATTTGAAGTATATCCTTGAATTCAGCCCGGAATGCACCAAACAGTATATGACTTTTTGTTTGTTTTAAAAAGTGTCCATAGTGCAAATTGCTCATCTCCTTCAGTTCTTGTAACAGAAATAGCTCAAACCAGTTAACACTTTCCCCAGGAGTTTTTCTTTTCTTTAAAAACATG